GGAAAGAGTTTAAAAAATAAGAACACTGTAAGACAGAAGTGTGTTCAGTTTGAGTACTTAAGTGTATCTAGTATACGGCACTGATGAATGGCAAGATTTAGTGTACAGTATTTTGAATCAAGCCCCAACTGTGTTTAGTTTTTTTTATGGTAGTTTTTATATAAATTAAACTACAGTGTTTTATACAAGTGACTTATTTTTGACCCTCTATATCCTTATTTTTTTTGCTCTTAAAACTATAACTTTCTTTTTTAATTACCCATTATTGGGCTTCTGACATTTTAAAAAAATTAATACTTATCTCACCATTCCACTAATGGCATTTATGAAATCTTACTATAGAAAAGTGTGTGGTTTCATTTTTATTTTTTAAAAAAAGCTGTGATATTGGCTAATTATGTATGTTTATTACTAAATATAATACTCTACATGTATTAAAGCATTCTACCATTAGTAGTGCCTTAAAGCTAAACTTTGTAAAGCTATGTGTGTATATGTTCTAAATTGCAGTCAATTACTAGTCACTAACAAAAAAAAATAAAGTATCAGTACCGCTGTCAGCTAACATAATCATCCAAATTTAGGTATTAACTTAAACTAAAATGGAAAAATTGATACTTTAAAAAAGTATAAAACAAAATTTAAACAAGTTATTGATGCAGTATTTTTCATGACATGGGCAACTTACAGAAAATATTACATTGTCAACTAAAGATACTTCTTCCATGCCTTAAAGTGCAGAAAGAAAGACTTCTGTATTCCAAAAGTAACCACTGTTTTTATAGGTTCACTGCACAACTTTTTCATGCAACTCAATTTGTACATGCGATTTTGAGTTGATCTCTCATGTCAGTTGGAATTGCTGTTCAGATACATAATTAGTTCTATCAGTAGAAAGGTCGATATATTTCACAGCATGGGTTTCTTTAGGAATAAAGGCTCTTGTGCAAAGGCAGTACTATTATGATGAATGTCTAGACTGATTATTAAATACAGTGCTAATATACATGGTTTTAACTGGGATAATGCAAAAAAAAAACATTTGGTAAATAAACATAAATATAAAAAGCACAATTTAGCACTTTTTTTTTCAACTGAGTTGGTCCAGCATCTTTAGTAGCCTCTTATGGTTCTTTCTCAAATTGTCTCAAACCTGCTGAGAAAAAGAAACATGAGAAATTGCTTGAAGTTAAAGAAGTGTTTTTAAATTGTTGTAAAGCAGACCTGGATTAAATCTCAAGAAATCTTCTTAACTTGTAAGAACAATAGGGCAATGGAACAAGCTGCCCAGGGAAGTTGCTGATTTTTCCTTTATATAAAAGCTTCCAAGAGAAGCCCTATATTCTCTCCGTCTAGAACGGCTTAGTAACAGCTAGTCCTGCATCTGTTTAGGGGCTTTAGACTAAATGACCCTTAATGTCCTTTCCAACCATATGAATGTGCCAATGCTATACAGAAGGCACAGTTTCCAAGTAACTCAAATATCTCCTCAGAGCACTTGTAAGAAGCAAGGCATAGTACAGACCTAACACCAAGCTTCTTGGCCAGCCAGTACACTCAGAAGTGCTCCATAGCTCCACCGGAGGATGAAGATTTCACATGATGAAAAACCTTTGGAGCAGATAGTGGGAGCACAATGGCCCTTCTATAAAGAAACTTCAAGTAGTACTACAAAGCATGTTCCCTACCCAGCATTTCCCAATGGTTGACAGCCACTGATGTACTAAGTTAGACTCCATTCTGGTCATCTCTTGAACATATTTTTAAAACTACTTGCTGTGCTTGCAGTGGCAGGACACTGACAGTGACCTCATCCTCCTGCTTTACCTGTGGTAGTTAAAGGGTATTATTAATGTATTTTGACTGCTAGTTGTGTATGAGGTTTGTTCCCAGAGTTTTAAGAACAAGTTAGACAAACATCTGTCTAGCGTGGTTTAGATAGGGATGACCCTGCCTTGAGCAAGGTTTGGATTAGATGATCCCCTGAGGTCACTTCCAGTCCTACTTTTCTGTGATTCTAAAACTCTACAATTCCCAGAATAAAGGACAGCTAACCAAAGCCTGGCACTTGGAAGTTTTAATCTCAGTTCTTGTACTGACACCATCTCCACACATGGTTTGGGGTAAATTACTCGGTAGTGTCATAATAGCTTAGATCTGGCCTGCTCCCATAGAAATCAATGACAGAACAGAGTGCATCTAGCGCTGTGTCATTCTGGATATATTCCTTATTTTCCTTGTAAAATAAGAACAAAGCTCGCCTGATAGGACAGGTAGTTTTTATACAATGCATTTAGTTTTCACAGTGCCTACAAACATGGTAGCTATTGTTACAAGATCAATTTCTAAATGTCAGAGTGATAAAGCCCACTACTCACACATTAATCTTTGGATTGAATTTTGTAACTTTCAGTCTGCTGTGTAGATTGCCATTGTTTTATTTGCAAGGCTAAATTGAAAGGATCCTGTTGGATAGGCTTCTTAATTTTATTAAACAGTTAAAACTGATCAGAGAACTCTGTGTTCCCCACCCTTGTATTCCTCAGAGGCTTGTTGCCTCTGGTTGGCATTCTTTGCTTTTTCCTTTCCAAACAGCCACGTCACAATTCTCACACTATTCAATCCTAACATGGCCAAAATGGAAATGCTAAGCACAGCTTGCAGTGTGAGAAAGTACCAGTATACTGCAGCAGCCAATGCAGGCCTGAGGCCAAGAGCATTTGAAGTCTGCTCAGATGAATTTACAGAGGTTGAGGGCACTCACTGATTTCCAAGATTAAAATTTTTTAAAAAGCAGCAAGTGGCTATTCATTTTTCTTGAGACTTTACTCTTAGCTGTTGGTATTGTTTAGCATTATTTTATGGGTTTGTTTTAAGATGTTTTGAAGGTTTCTATTTCAATGGAACCATTTGGATAAACAATGCTGTGACATTAACTTCAATCAGCTAGTCACTTTTTTGTTATTATAAATAAAAAATCAGATCCACTCCCACTACAGACTTTAAAAGGACTATTCCCAGATGCCTGACAACTTCTGTTAGTAAAATGACTGTCCTGTTCTTTGGACCTCACACAGTTTACTGGAAGGCTGCAGCTACATCAAACGTATTACATATGTTGTTCACACCAGGCTTGGAAAACAGCTAGAGAACTGTAAAGTATTGATTTAGTCAATACCATAGAAGGCAGATTTGGGCTTCTAACTCCAAAATATTTTTCATGTTAGTTATGGATGCGATAATTGCAACTAATTTGTTTGAAAGGCAAAGGAAGCAATTTCTTTTTATTACCATTAATGGTATTATCATTTTAAAAGCTGTATGCATCTGTATGAAAATGTGGAAAGGCTTCTATTTAATGTTCAGGAGAATAATTAGCCTCACTTACCATTAGTCTCTGACTTTTTCCCCATAGTCGTTACCTGCATTGAAAAAAAATCCATTTTTAAATAAGGTTTTATATATATATATATACACATATATATATATATACACACACACACACATATATATATATATATACACATATATATATATATATACACACACACACACACACACACACTCATATATATAGAAGAAGAAGAAGAATTATAATTATTCATAATGGAAACATTCATTCCTAGCAAAGGACTAACACTTAATTCTTCATAAAAGGGACTTAAAAATTAAATGCTGCATAGACCTTTTGCTGGCCTATGGTGATGTTACCTTAGTAGTAGAGGTTGTCTTTTCAACTGACTGCTTCTCCCAGAGATTACGTTTGCCGGATACATCTCCTGGTCTTAAATCCTGTTTTATTTTTGGAAGAGAAGCAAGAGAATAGAAACCAAGATTAGTTCAAATTTGTGTTATTAAGGTAAATTAAGGGCTTTGTTGCCCAGCAGGAACTTCCCACAGGAACACCCACACGAGAACTGTGCAAATCCCACTCATGATAGTTTTTCACATATGAACAAGGACTGACGGCAAAATTTGGCCTGAAGAACCTTTATTTACACATTATGTATGTTCTTTTATTTGCTTCTGTGATATGTCATGCAAGAAGGTATGAGTAAAGAAGGGAAAATAAGGCTTTTTTTTCATTTTTAAGACAGAGAATGGGTTCAACAGCCATTGCATAAGTAGCAGAGACAGCAGCTGGTATTTTATTTCCTCGGCGCCTCTTAAATACCACTGGCACTCCCCAGTCAAAGATAATGTTTTTTGTTTGTTTTTTTCTCTTAAAGACAGTAAATGCAGAAGGAAACACTTTATGAACACCCAGAACAATGCACAACATTTGTTCTCATTGTATAGCAAGATTTACATAATGGCCATTCACATATTCACCCCGGATACATGTGTACTGCTCTGTAAAATTCTGCAGTCAGGTGGATTTACAGTTCTGTAACAACAGAATTTATTGTATTATTGTAACCCATCCTCCACAAGGAGGCCTATCTATCCACATCTCCCAAAGTAGTAGACAAAGTCCAGCTAGGGATCATAGATATACTTCAGTAAGCTGTGACTCTCTAGAATGTGCCAAAAACAAAGCTAGAGAAGTTACAACTGCTGCTGGGCAATTTTTGACCTCCAGAAAAAGATTGTCCACCAATACTGACAGCACAAATCTCCAAAGGACTGGCCACATAACTCACCTTCTCTCCAGTATAAAACTGGAAGAAATCTCATAGGTCAGAGTCCTATCCTCTGCTGTTGTAGACAAATCACATCATATCTCCCAAACTGAAAAGGCTTCGTCTTCTAACTAGACAGCAATTTTACTCCCTGTCTCCATCCTCCCCATCACCTCCATGAGGAGGCTGTTCCTGAAATTCGTGTCTCTAACAGTTGGCAAAGAATATTGTTTTAGATTTTGGAAAGGAAGAAGGAAGGACAGCTATGTCCTAGGGCTGGGGAGGAAGAAAAAAGAGGTGGCTTAGGAACGGAGACCATCTTGATTTATCAACAGCCTTAAAACCCTAGATTTACACCTGTACAATTGCTCAGAGTAAACTATAAACACATTTACCTGACCAGCTTAGCAAAGAGGCCCCCCCAATCCAAAAAAAAACAGAAGGCAAGCAGGCATCTAGAGGAGTCCACTCAAGGAGAGAGACTGAAAGGAAAGAGCAATCCGCTGAGAGAGAGAAAGAGAGAGAGATGGTTGAGGAAAGGAGAGGTTAGATCCAGGTTCTCACTGTCATTTAGAAAAAGGAATGAAAATTTAAAAAATATAAGAGTTTGCCTCTATGCTAATTTATTTTAACTGCTGTTAAGCACTTATCACAGTTTGTGGGGGAAGGGAGTTATTTATTCAGGCATTGTGGTTACACAGTGTTACACAGCTGTTGACAAATGCTGATTTACAAAGAACAGCTATTGCAAATTATAAGCAAACCTATTAAAAGATAACAGATATGTAAATCAAGAAAGCATATGCTACATTAGCAGGGAGGTACCTTATTTACTGTGTAGACAACACAATGGACATCAGGAGAAGGCTTCTTTCAATAAAACACCAAAATCATCATTACTTATGATGCAACTGAAGTTTACGCCCTGCTTTGTGTGCCATCATTTTCTTTGCCCAGCCCTTTTCCTCTGCTGTGTTCCCATTCCTGTTTTTTCCTCTGTGAGATGCTCTCAACCTATTTTTCCCTACTTGGCTGTGAGGAGGGGGCATTGGTTTGTTCCTCCATCCTTCATTTGTGGCTCTATCTGCCAGAAAGCCCCACACTCCATTAACGAAGGCAGCCACTGGTGGTCTGGACCAGGTACTCTTTGTAGCTGAGGTGAGCAATCCTATGGTAGCTGCTCCTGCGGTTACTGAAGCAGGGCTTACTATGGCAACAGGGATAAAATCTGGCAGCTTTCAGGGATACAGCTTGTAGCTGTGTTGGTCTAAAAAGCAGAGGCAGACACAACTCTCGGGCTTGAGGCGATATCTTTTATTAAACCAATTAAATAGTAGCACAAAAATTTCTTTGCAAGCTTTTGGTTTCAAACCCTTTGGATACAAGCTATATCCCTGAAAGATGGAAGGTACTGTAATTAGCCATTTAGAAATGTAAACTTCATTGCTAAACAGGAAATAAGAAAGTACATCTGTGGGGGGCCTGTAGGGGAGATCATGCTCAGGGGCAATCAGCATGGGTTCACCAAAGGCAGGTCCTGCCTGACCAACCTGATTGCTTTTTACGACCAAGTAACTAAATCCTTGGATGATGGTGTCACTGTAGACATAGTCTTTCTAGACTTTAAGAAGATCTTTGACACTGTCTCTCACCCTATCCCCATCAATAAATTAAGCGACTGTGGCATTGATGCCTGCACAGTTGGATGGGTAAAAAATTGGCTGATGGGGCGCACCCAGAGAGTAGTGATGGACGGGCTGTACTCAACCTGGCGAGATGCGAGCCGTGGGGTTCCCCAGGGCTTGGTCCTCGGGCCCGCACTGTTTAACATCTTCATCAGCGACTTGGACGAGGGGGTGGAAAGCACGCTGTCCAAGTTTGCTGATGACACTAAGATGTGGGGCGAGGTGGACACACTTGAAGGGAGAGAGAGGCTGCAACTAGATTTAGACAGACTACAAAAGTGGGCAGACGAGAATAGGATGGGGTTCAGCGTTCAGAACCAGAGGCTGAGCTTGCTTATTTGGTCCTACCTAGATTGGGGGTTTAGCAGATGCATCTTTGGAATTAGTTATCTGCATGGCTCGTAATGACGCCAAAGCAAGGACATTACTTAGGTCAGGCCGCAGTTGGAGGACTGTGTCCAGTACTGGGCGCCGCACTTCAAGAGGGATGTGGCCAGCCTGGAGAGGGTTCAAAGGAGGGGCACCCGCTTGGTGAGAGGGCAGCAGGACAGGCCCTACGAGGAGAGACTGAAGGACCTGAACCTGTTCAGCCTCAGCAAGAGGAGGCTGAGGGGGGACCTGGTGGCTGTCTACAAGCTCCTCAGGGGGGATCAACAGCAAATAGGCAGGGCCCTTTTCTCCCCAGCACCACCTGGGGGGACAAGGAGCAATGGTAATACGCTAATGGAGAATAGGTTTACGTTAGAGATCAGAAGGCAATATTTTACAGTTAGGGTGGCCAAAATCTGGAACCAACTTCCCAGAAAGTGGTCCTCACCCCTACCTTGGGCAAATTCAAGAGGTTGGATGATCACCTGTCTGGGGTCTTGTGAACCCAGCATTCATTCCTGCCTGTGGCAGGGTGTCAGGCTAGATGATCTGTTCAGGTCTCTCCTGACCCTAGCTACTATGAAACTATGAAAAATTCAACTCCCTGCCTGACATCTGACACCTCCAGGAAAGAAACCTGCTGGAGCCGTGTCTCAGCCTAATCCGCATATTCACAGAGAAACTTTTCCACAAATGGACTTTGAAAACCAGGGGAACCTCACCATCCTTAAGGAGATCCTGGTGTCAAAAAAAAACTGTGATAAAAAAGGTGGAATAGTGTATGCAGCATGTGTCACCCAAAACTGGAGCCTGGCCAGGTGGAGCTATGCTTCAGCTGCCAGCCAGGCTCCCTGCTGCGGGATCGCCACAAGCACAGCCCCCAGAGGCCCTCAGAACCCCAGGTGACGCTGCTGGAGCCAGCTCAGGTGCTGGCTCCAGCCTCCCCTACCCCACCTGGGGCAACATAATGCGTGCCAGAGTGCACATGCACGGGCGTTCCCTGAAGACAAGTATCAGCGGCACATATTGTGCCACTGCTCTTGTCCCTGGGGAAACACACATTCCCACTCATGGGGACGCTCCCCAGGTGTCCTGGATCCTAGCAATGCCATTCCTCACCAGCCCTCTAGTGACAAGTCAAAGCTTTGGAGGCAAGAAACTCTATTAACCTTTATCATGCAACTGCCCACAGCACGTTCTAACTTTAACACCACTTAACATCACTTCCAGAGATTTAGTGCAACGTGTAATTTCATCCTTATTTACCAGCATTAGTGTTTCTGTAAACTTGAGCATCTTGGTAGGGAAACGTCCTACCATCCCTTCCACAGAACTATCTAATTTGTTGACCTAGCAGATTTACCTTATTGCTTTCTCCCATTGGCACAAATGAGAACCCATACTCCAAAAGCCAGGTGTTGTAGATCTACTTACCGAAGGTTTTGGAGCAGGCGATTTGTTGCTCTCTGGGGTCTTGGTTAGCCATTCATTGATACGACTGGAAACACCAACCTTCAGTCCAGCTGTTTCCTGCAAAATAACCATTTACCAATTTAACTGGATATTTTTTTTTAATGTAATCCTGCCTAACAGATCCATAGTTTGGGGTTAAAGAAAAATCAAATCCCCAAATTGAAGAAAAATTTCTCCCCAAAAGTCTGTGGCTGTTTGGAATTCATCCTGTATAGTTTGAAGATATTACATGTCCAAAGTGAAAAGATCTTTATCCTAAATTCCAGTATACCAGAGACCTAAGCATCAAAACAAGTTGTTAATATAGTTTCTTAAAATACACAGCAAAAATGGTCACCACTGGCTCTGAACTTAGCCGACAGCTCAGCACTTAAATCAATGCTTGCTGGTTCTTTTGACATTTGCTGAGCATCTTTCAGCTCACATTGACCGGTGGTTTATGAATTTAGAGAGAGAAGATACAATATACCTTTATAGATACCTCAATGAAGAACAAGCTGGTAGCAGTCAGATCAGCATCTAAGCCACTTAAGACACTACTGGGTAAACTGGCAACCATTTAAATTGTGCATATAGCACAAGCCATTTCCAAATCCCATTGATCTCAATATTAAAGAAGCTGCTTAAACCAATAAAAATTAAACAGCTAGTTCAAGCAGGCACAGTCTACTCTCAGGCTTTCCCACCTCATTAATGCTGGTTCCACTGTTACTCAGAACCTGTCCTCAGTCTCTAACGTCTCGACACTTTATGAAGGCTTGTCACACTGATATTCAGAGAGCCTTGCCTCTAACAGGAGCCTTGAAAATGACATTTTCAGGGTTGTTATTAACACAGTACTGACAGCAGGTGAGCTAAGCTAGAAGGATTACCCACCCATCCCACATTTCAGGCAAGTTTTTGATTGTCAAACTAACCCATTACATAAAGCTTAGACTACGTAAGAATTTGCATCACAAAACAGCCATCACAACTCAGAGAGCCTCTTTACATTGTTTGAGCTGCTCAGTTGTAGCTGTCAGATATGACATGTGGTGTCTCAGCGGGAACTTTATAACTAAGCCCACTATGGCACTAAATTCCCCACATTGCCTAATGTTATAGCAATCTCGAACTGGTAGCTGGGTGTTTGTGGACCCAATCCTTCAAGATGCTGAACCTCTTTCTCTTCCAATGACCTTGACAGGACTGCTCACAGGAGCGAATACTCACAGAAGTAAGGAGTGCAGAATCGGGTCTTATATAAACAATAGACAAAACAGAAATATATACCTTATTGGGTGTCCCTGTCCCAGAAGGTGATGAGAAAACATTCCCTTTCTCCCACATGCTCTTAATGTTACGAACACCCTCAGCCGGGACTGGAAGATCAGAGGCCGCTGGCTTGGTAGGTTTTGAAGCCTTGGTGCCCTGCAAGAGAGAGACTACTTTGTGCTTAAAATTAAAACTGGTGTCAGGAGTGATCTAGAGCGCTGAGCTTTACTGAGCAATATATTGCATGTTAACTAACAATATGTTCTACTGATGACAATACGAAATGATGAAGAGAAAGATTTCTTAGAAAGAATATGGTTGAGATCGTCACCCATTTTTAAATACAGTTGTGTCCAACGCCACAACAAGCTAATTTATGGGAACCACATTCCTGCAGATTTTGTGCACATGCATTTTCACAAGGTTTGTGGTAAACTGCAAGAGAACACATGGTCACAAAACTGTGCTGACCCCTGGATTTGCCCTGCACCCTCTCAAGCATATCCATCTCCCTCAAAAAAAATTGCCTCTGGTTTCTACGTAAGTAAAAAGGGAAGGATACTCTGAGAGGAAGGCCTTAATAAAGATTGATAAATAAAGTGTATTCCACTTTCTCCCACTGATGCTGACACGTTAATATTACTTTCTTGAACCGTTGGGACAGACTTCAGCAGCTGAAAGTATCTGTAAGATGAGGCACTTTTACAGGGTTACCAAATATTAGTGCCAACCTCTCTATAGCCACAGTCTGTGACAGTCACAAGTATTGTAAAGTATATGCTTAATTGCAAATCAACTTAAGACTGCATATCCCTGTTGAAAAAAATCAGCAATTCTGCATCAGCACATCGGGTGTTTTTACACGTGCCTCATGCTCTGGGCATGGGAAGGGAGCAGAGGGAAGGGTGCTTTAATTAGAGCAGCTGCAAGAGCCACTTTAGTTAAAGCACCCACACCATCTCATGAATCAGTATCTCTGGGCCCCACCACCATTTTGAAATGTGGGGCACTGATACATGAGACGTGGAAGCTGGCTGTAGCATGCTCCAGCAGACTCAATTAATCACAGAACTTCAGAGCAGTAATTACAGCATGTTGGAGCAGTCTCTGGGCATGTCTATAGGTACCCATTAAGACTAGATGGTGGCTGTAAAGTGACCAGTCACATTGTTTCAAAACTCTGCCCTACTTCTCCAGCATGAAAAGCCAACTCACATGTCACAAAGAGCCAATTCACACATGTACTCAATGCACACATCAGTTCAGATTTACTGAAATCAACAGAGCACCAATCATTGATACTCGCTGTTCCAATGTTTCTGGCATGGCAACACCAGAGCTCCCTGCTGCATGAATCCCACCTTGTGGATGGATGGGGCTATTGTTACATCCTCACCCATTCATTTGTTGGTGTCTAATACAATATCAGGGCATGTGGTTAAAGTTTTAGGCCCTTTGAGCTTGTTACGCTTATGACTTACTCAGATTCCAAA